TTTCATGGAACATGATCTTTACTTAATATCCTAATGATTTTTGGCATAAAAGAAAAATCAATAATTTTGACCCATACAATGTATTTTTGGCTATTGCTACAAATATACCCCAGCGACTTAAGACTGCTTTTGTGCTCCAGGGTCACATATTTATTTCAGTTAGTTGCCAAGGCAACATTTCTAATTAAATTTTAGTACATTTAATTAGAACAACAAACAAAAAGTACATTTTTAATGTAATATTTATATTTTATTTTAGCTTGATTTCACTTAACCTAAACAATTTTGAATGTTTTAATTTTAGTTAACAATAATAACACTGCCGAACATAAGCCAAGTTTTATTTTACTTCATTGGTTTGACTGGATGTTGTTATTTTTGTCATGTGTTGCCATGAAATGCACTTAAAATATATGTAAAATATACTCTACACATGGTAGAATACTTCCTGCTAATAATAAAAATAACTGTAATAATCAAAATGTTTCAAAAGCTTTCTTTTGGTTTTAATGAATGATCAGTTTGTACCGTAGGTGTCCTCCTTATAGTTCTTTTGAAAAATTATAAAAAGAAAATCAATTCTTAAGTAAGGCCTACAATTTTAGGCCAGCCCAGAATTTCCTGTGGATTTTGACAATAGAAAATTTTAATTTATGGATAAAACAATATCTGTAATTTAAAGATAAATTACACTCAGTCAAGTCAAGTGTGAATTTTGAAGCAGCTATGATTTATAAAAGCCTTAGTTACAATACATAAATGATTGTTTGATTTGTGAGGCATGTAAACTCACATTATGGCATTGTGATTCTTTAGAAACTTGTTAGCAACTTTTAAGAGCAATATGAGATTAATGCTGTAGAACCGTATAACCGTTCTATTTATCGACATATTTATTTATGTAAGTGACCTTTAAATGTGCATAGCAAAATGAGTCTTTTATGAAATCACACAGTAATTTCTCTGACATGCAGAGTGAAACACACACTCACAGCTTGTCTCTGCTCCTCATCCTGCAGGAACAGGACAGAGATGGAGGAAAAGAACAGAGGGAGTGAAAAACAGACGACGAGAGCAAGTATTAACACTATAAACTCTAATCCGTAAAGAGAAGAAACAAAAAGTGGAAAACTAGATTAAGTATGTGAGAAAAGACAGCAGCTCAGATGATAAACACTAAAGAGAGTGTGGCAGTGACACACAGTGCCTCCAGTGGCAGAAATATTACAATGCACTAGAAAGTCTCAGTAGTTAAAGAGTGTGTCCTGTTGTCTTGTCTCGTCTTGCTCTGTGTGTCTGGTGTACCTTCAGTAGTTTCATGAGTCCTTCCAGCTGCACCATGAGCTCTCTCCTGCTCTCCTGTAGAGACGACATCCTCTGCTCCAGCTCACCCTTCCTCTGCCTAAAACACACACAAACACAAGCACAGAGCTTAGACCTCTCACAGACACAATGATTTCTGACAGGATGATGATTATTAGACCCAAACCCTAAACTAAAACCATCTTACAGATTTAAAACACAACATGTTTTGGAAGATTTATTTTTACATTGTGAGAAATGCTTCAAATTGCCTCTTAAAGTTGGTTTTTGACATATTTGGCATTCATTTGGCAAATATGTTTTCAAAAATGTGAACCTCAAAACTTGCAGAAAAATGAAACACTTTTACACAGTTTCGACAAGTTAAACTGGTCTAATGGGAATCTAATGGGAGAAGTCAAAGAGAATATTGGCAATTAAAAAAAATAAAACAAAGTAAAACTGTCTAGGCAAATTATAGTGAAACAAACAAACAAATGTGTTTTTATTCATTTAATCATTAATTCAAATGAATGCATGTATGAATGCTTTATTGTCATTGCAGAAAACACATTTTCTTCCAGTGACTTAGAGGGAGAAATAATTTTATGATATTTACTCAACAGTTCATCTTTTAAGTAAATCATCTTTTATAATAATAAATAAAAAGGACGGTAACATTTTACAAGTTATCTTTTGTTAACATTAGTTAAGGAATTAACATGAACTAACAATTACAAATATATTTTTTACAACATTTATTAACCTTTGTTAATGTTAGTTAATAAAAATACAATTGTTCATGTTAATTCACAGTGCATTAGCTAATGTGAACAAATACTTTATTTTTACATGAAAAAAAAACATTAGTACATGCTAAAATTAGTTCAATTCAGTTGCTAAGGAAATAAAAAAAACTAAACAAACTAAAATGAGAAAAAACTATGTAGACATATTTAAAAAAAATAATAAAAATGACAAAAACATGCAACAAAATTACTAAAACTATTAAATTGAAATGAAAACAAATTTTAATATGAATAAAACTACAATTATATCTCAATTATACTAAAATAACTCTGCTAATATCCAAAATAATCTTTAAAAAATTATAACAAATATCTTGCAATAGCTAAAACAAAAAGGCATTCAGAGACTGAATCTGGAAACATCTGCATCATATCTGTGCTCGGAGTGTGTGTGTGTGTGTGTGTGTGTGTGTGTGGTCCGGATAAACCCTATGTTGTAAGGACCAAAGGTCCCCACAAGGATAGCAAAACCTGAAATTTTTGACCTTGTGGAGACATTTTTTTGGTCCCTATGAGGAAAACTTTCTGTGAGGGTTGCATTTGGGGTTAGCGAATACAAAATACAGTTTGTACAGTATAAAAATCATTGTCTATGGAAAGTCCCCATAAAACACAAAACCCAACATGCGTGTGTGTGTGTGTGGTACCTGAGCTGTCTGAGTTCTGCCAGCAGGGTCGGGTTTTGTTGGACTCTCTCTGGAGTCGGCTGACATTCCTGTTCATGCTCTGCTCGCAAACACTGGATCTCCTGTAAAATCTCCCTGAAAACACACACAGAATTATCCTTTACACACTCACTGAGACTAAAATCCAAAACCAAAAGCTGGATGTAAGTCTTCATGAAAACATCTCCATATGCAGCTGTGAGTGAGTACCTGTTCTTGTTCTCCAGCTGCATGATCAGCTCTCTCTGCTGTTTGTTGGTGTTGTAGCTGAAGTCTGAAGGTCTCTGTGATTCACAAAAGCAGCAGGAACAAAGAAATATATGAGTGTTTTACTCTGTGCATTTGCTTAGCTATAGTTTGGAGACAAAACAGTCTCAAAAAGTAAGCTAAATCTGACTTAACGCTTCATAAACGCATAATTTGAAAAGAGATAGCAAACGTGTGTGTAACTCACTCCTGTGTGTCCAGGATCCATGGCCAGACGAGAGGCATAACGAGCGATGAGTCTGTGCTCTTCATCCGTTCGGCTAGGACTGTCTAACGCACTACAAACACACACACAGAAAACATTATTACATTTACAAAACCCTACATAACACACACACACACACACACACACACTCACCGTGGGCTGCTCTGGAGTTTATTCACATATGCCGCGATCAGAGCGTGTTCCTCATTCATACGCTGAGCTGTGGCTAGAGTCGGCGTTCTACACACACACAAACACAAAATTACATTTAATTGCAAATTACAGTTTCAAACAGTTTTTGTATGAGTGGGCTGTACTCTAACACTGCTTAGTCCCTAATCTGTATTAGGGATGCACCTAGGGTCCAAAATTAAGGCTGTTATTTAATTACATAATTTGTTTAATTTTCACAATTTCATTAAATAAAAATGTTGTTGTACAAATATATATACTGTAGACTGTATTTAAAAAAACTACACATGAAAATATTAAAATATGTTTTTTAAGTTAAATCCCCCAGCCCTACGCAAAAGTATAACTTGTTTTTTAACAATTTTATTAAAGACCATTTTTTTCCATTCAAGACATGATATTACAGCCAAACCACCATGATGTGATCTTCTATTGCAAACATATTTTAGAGAAAAATTAATTGGAAATGATGCTTTACAGTACATAAAATTGCTTAAGTTAAAACCTGTTATTTTGTCACTTTTTTAATTAAATTGCCTTCCCATATAAAACTATACTATAGTTTTAAAAGACAATATATGCAATGTTTTTCGAGGGATTTTTTTATTTATTTTTTTTACTTTTTTTCCCCAGCAGAGTTCGAGTAACAACACCTACCAGTTTTTGTTTTTTATATTTAACAGTAAAATGTAGGGCTGCACGATAAATCGCATGCGATATTTAACGCGCA